ATGCATTCATTTTATGATACATGAAAACACCACTTAATTATTTTAACTTTAAGCAATTTCTTTTGAAATCAAGATAATTTTGCTATTTGAAAACTTATAAAAGCAATAGGGACTCAATTTTCAAGACGCTTAAGGCAGAATGCTTAAGTCAGAATGCATAAGGTTCAGGCTTGCTGCTTTGCCTGGGCTTCTGCTTCCTGCAAAAAAAACAAAAAGCCAAATTACATATAAATCTCCACAAAGCAGATCCCCAGTTGTATTTTGTTTAGACTACGTAAAACCAAATTACTAAGAATATTCAAAAGCAGAGCAGTTAAGTCCAAAAAACACAGCTTAAAACTTTTAATAGAAGGCTGGGGACATAACTCAGTGGTCTAAGCACCTGTCTGGCAAGTGCAAGGACCCAGGTTCCATCCATGGTACTGCATGCCTTGCAGGCCCCAGAACCTTGGGCCCCAGAGGTGGGCATGGTGGCACAATCCTGTAATCCCAGCGCTGGGGAAGCTGAGAAGCAGGATCACTAGGAGTCTAAACTGTGTAGCAAGATCCTGTAACAAGTAAATAAAAGATTAATTTTATTTTATTTTTCTTTCTGTATTTTAGGGAAGGGTATACAGGGTGTTCAGGGTCTCACTACTAGATTGGATTCACAGTGATTCTTCTGTTTATAGCCTCCCAAGTGCTGGGATTACAGGCACATGCCACCACACCCAGTCTCAATTGCTCATTGAACCCCAATTTTTTTATTTTAATAGAAAATTTATAATATATTTCGATGTCCGGGCCTGCCATACTGGTCCCACCTCCGGGTCACACTGAGACAGCAATTGAGACTGGCTGTGGTGGTACATGCCTGTAATCCCAGCTCTTGGGAAGCTGGAGACAGGTGGATCACTATGAGCCCAATCTAGTAGTGAGACCCTGACTACCCTGTAGACCTTTTCCTAAAAATACAAAAAAAAGGAAAAAAAAAGAAAATTTATAATATAGAAACTACTGTCAAGAAAGGTAACTGTTAATCCTGATATGTCAACTTTATTGCATTAAGAAACGCCTAGTAGATTATTAAAACAAATACCTTGGTGCTTCTGGGTAGGTCATGAAGGCATGATCTTGAATACTAGTATGGTCCCACTCCAGTTTCTTTGTGGCACTGTCCCACTGCTCTGCTTCTCTGCTTCCATGAGCTCCCAAAGCATCTATTCTCTGCTACATCCTTCTGCCACAATGTTTCTGCCTTGAAGACAGCTGACCATGGACTAAACCTTGAAATCATGGGCCAAATTAAACCAATCTTCCTTTAAATTATGCATATCTGGTATTCTATGTCGATGCCAGGAACGTCCACACAAGACACACAGTCAAAGACTGTCTAATCATTATAAATGGTTTGAAATTATTCCATAAATGGAACTGACTTAGAGTGGAAAATTAATATTTTAAAATAATCAGCTAATTTGTTCCTCAGGTGATGTTTTATAAAACTTGAGGGTTCATAAATGGACATGATTGTGTATGCCTCTAAGCCCAAAACTTACAAGGTTGAGGCAGGGGTATTATTGCAAGTTCAAGGCCACCTTAGGCTACAAAGTGAGTTCAAGACCAGCCTAAACTGCATAGTGAGACCCGGTCTCAAAAAGATAAAAAATTTGAGAGTCTATAAAATTATTATCTAATGTTTGTAGTTAGTTGAATTTTGTTTATCTAAGGTTAACTTAAATAGATAATGTGGTATTCATTAAAATATTGTGGCTTTTATGTTTCATGATAGTAAGCAGGAAAAGAGATCAGGTTGTCTTCTTTTCTTTGGACAGTGAGTAACCTGGCATAGGAATTCTGAACTACTTATGCACTTTGGCTCCCAACATAATACTTTACACAGAATGGTCTTCTAGTATTATTTGGGGAAATAAAGATGTATGGTAAAAGTGATTCCAGCAAAAGGAACGCCAAGACTTAGTTGTAGAAATCAATTGTTCCAAATATTATCCCTCTAAAAACCAGTCAGACATTTAGTTGTGACTATCTAAGGAAAAGTCAAAAGTGGCTGGGTATTCTAAAATGAGCCTAGGACAGTAGATCCAAAAGAAAAAGGCAAAGGAAAAGAAGCTATATTTTACCAAAAAAAAAATGGGCAATGAAACAAGAAGATGACATACTTCATTGTTCGTATACCCCTAACAGAATAGATAAAACAAATTACTGATAACTTTCCAAAATGCCTATAGGAACAAAGGAAAAAAGGAAGGAAGGAAGGAAGGGAGAGAAGAAGGAAGGGTACCGAGGAAAGGGACAATTTCCAAACTTTTTTGAAGTTGCTGTCATAAATGTGGCTATGAAAATAAATTCATCTTGTATCTATATTACATAATTTGTTTTCTTTTATGAAACAGACCTAGAACTACAAAATTCCTTCACACAATAAAACACATTTTATGCTAAGATTCACAAAAAAATTGCAACCTATATAATTGAGGAAGTAGTTGTACATTAGTATGAATAAGCCCTAATGCAAAAACTCTTCCTATGAGTATGTAACATATTTTTATTGTTGTTTTGGGTTTTTTTTGTGTGTGTGTGTTACCAGGGATTGAACTCAGGATCTTGCACTTGCCAGGCAGGAGCTTATGCCACTGAGCTATCTCCCCGGCCTAGTAATTAGTATTTTGAAAGCATCCTAGATTTGTAAGTCACATCTAATATTTTACTATAATTTGTTATAAATTATATAGCTTTCAGTTACCCTTCTTAATAAATTACTACTACAAGCATACAAGACAATTGTTTGTAATGTGTCTTTAGAATTTATCATATTTAAAGAAATCTAATTGCTTAATTAATCAAAATTTTAAATCAATATTAACCTTTACTATTACTTGAAAATAAGCAGTCAATATTTAGAGAATCATAGGATATCTAATCACTCAGAGGATTTTAGAAACAGCAATATGAAGTACACTCTACTCAACGTAAAAATCATTCTATAAATTCATTCATTTTAAGTCAGGTAATTCTGGTTTCAAATTCTGGGTCAGCTACTAAATTATCATATATTCCTGGACAAATTACTTAAATGATCAGAGATCAGTTTTTCCTTCTGCACAATTGCATTACTGATACTTAGCTCATACAGATGCTGTAAGGATAAAATTAGATGTATGTGAAGTGCGTCCCTCAGTACACTGCATACATCCCTTAACCTTCACCAACTCCTTCCTCTGTTTTTGTCTAGCAACTAAAATAAAACCTAGAGATGCAGTATGAATAAGATAAATTCAGTGGATGTAAATGGCAATAAATCTCTCAGAAGTGGCAGACTTCCAGTGAAGAACAATTCTCTACCCAGCAACCCCTGCTCCCTCAACATAGCACTGAACACACCTTCTACAGGGAAATCATTTTCCTCTTACAAGAACATCACGAGGTTTGTTTTTTAGTAAAAATATCAATTATTTTATTTTATGTCTCAAAACGATTACCTCTAAGGCAAAGAAATGCCAGTGATAAGAAATGTTTTTATTGTAAAATAGAGCATAAGAATATATATATATATATATATATATATATATATCCTTTTAATGCACCAAGTATATACAACAAGATACAGAAATTATTTGAAATTATTTGACTTCCATAGAAAGATACTTTGTTTTATGGAAATATTTGCTATAGACTACATTTAAATATCATGCTTGCCAGTAAATTGCTTTTTACTAATTTTAAATGTAATGACTATGCACTGTAATTATTAGTACAATGAATTAGAGAAGAACATGTATATTGGTTATGGTTCCTTTCAGACTATTTTTTGTTTTATGTGTGAATTTTAAATATAATTAGAAAACTGTACTATAAGAACAATTCTATAAACCACTTTAATATATAACAGACTACACTAATTCCCTCTTATTCAGAGTATATTCCTAGTGGATGGCTGAAACTACAGGCAATACAACATCATATAAAAAGATTAACAACAATAAGAAGTGCTCCAACAATTATAAAAACATACTAACAAAATTATGTGAATGTAGTCCCTTTCTTTCTACTGCCATGAATCAGTTAGTACATCCAGGATAGATAAACTGAACAAAAGAATGATTCATATCCTGGGCAGGATGGTGGAAGATGGTGAGATAGTTTATTGAATTACTGAAAATGGGAATTTAAAACATATTATTTATTTCTGGAATTTTACAGTAAGATTCTTGGAGCATAGCTGAGTTCCAGAGATTGAATCTATAAAGTCAGATCTTTAATAAAGGAGGTTGGGGATAATGTATCATTCTATGATATTATGAATTCATCACGCAGGTAAATTACTTTTTATTTAACATATTGTTGTCATTTCATTTTTTGCAAAGTTCACAATGTACATAATACTTTGATTTATGTTTTTGTCTTTTAAGTTCAGTTAGTTGGTGATTTCATTTAGTTGAAATTCCTGCTAAAGATCGAACTTTTAAATTATTTACTATTTAAGATTGCAAATTAGGGCTGGAGAGATGGCTAAGTGGTCTAAAGCACCTACTTGGAACAAGCTTGGCAAAGCACAGGGACCACGGTTCAATCCTCCAGCACCACATGCCAGCCAGCCGCGCCCCCTGGTGGGCTGAGCTGGCCACACACACACACACACACACACACACACACACACACACACACACTAAATGTTAAAATAAAAAAAAAGATTGTAAATTACATTTCACTCATGTTTTTATCAATTATGCTTTTTCATGTATAGGATACCTCTATTAAAATATAATACCTAAAATGAATGTAATAGGTAAAGAAGTATAAATAAATATTTTTGAAGTTCTTGATACATAATTCCCCTTCTGCTTTCAAACTGGAGCACTAATTTATACTATCCCAGCACTGTATTTATGCACATTTCAATGTGCTCGTCTCTGCACCAAGCATTACTTTGTTTTATTTTCATTAATTTACAGAGAAAAAAATATTTCATTTTACAACATTCCTTTTATCATCAATGTACTTTTTCAATATGGATTACATAGTTGTATTTCTTACTTGATGTGCTTTACTCAGCTAGTTATTTCTTTGTCAGCTCACTGTCTCATTAAAGGAGGAAAACTGAAAATTGAGCTAAATGATAAAAATATGTGAATAGTCTTGGAAAAACCGTATTAAATATTAATACCCAGAATTTCCCTACTACTTATCTGCTTAGCTGGCCCTATCAGCTCCCCTTTGTTCAGCCCTTCATAATGCCCACTGCTCTTCTGAATTAAATCACATCTTAAATACTGAGACAATCATATCTTTGTTTTTTACCTATTTCTCATCATGGCTTTGCATGTCTATAAGATGAAGTTAAAACTATCCAGCACAGCAATCATAATATTGCTCCATCTTAGCTAATTTCCCCTCCTCTATTAATGTTTCCTGTTTTAAAGTCATATTGTATTGTATACTGCTCCCAGAACATATATTATGCAGAAATACATGCCAATACAGTGGTTCCGGTTGCTGTCTCGGTGAAACATGCCTTAGTATCACTTCATAATTAAGGAATCTCCAACAGCTCAAATGCCACACATCTGTGAAAGCTTTTATAGTTTCAGTAAGAATTTATGATTAGTTCTTCTGAACTCCTAAAGGTCTTTATTTACACTTTGTTTTAAAATTTATAAGAATATATCTTAAATTAGCATTTGTTCAATAATTATTTGTGCTTACATCTTCATGAGTTTATAAACACTTAGAATGTAAGGAATATGCTGCATGCTGTGGATTTACCCCACCATTAACGTTAAAGCTTGGTGCTCAAAAAATTGTTGCTGAATAAGTGAATCCCAATTTTAACTGAAAGGAAGGGAGTCATCAGCCTTAAAACAGTAATTACGTAGATTATTTCATACTTCTAGTCTGCTCTAAAAGCAATAATTTAATTTCAGCCTCATCTTATTTAAATAAAGGTGCTTTACTTAAATGTTCTTAGAACACAAATTATGGGGCTGGTGAGATGGCTCAGTGGTCTAAAGCACCTACTTAGAACAAGCTTAGCAAAAGCATCAGGGACC